AGACAGCGTTGTCCAACTGACGGAGAGCATTGTGCAGGTGCAGCGGGCGAGGAGGGTGGGGGACGCGCGACACGGAAGACCACCGACGCTGGCGCATCAGCGCGCACTTTTTGATGATCGAAGTTACCATTGTGGCGCTTGATGGGGGCTGCGCGAAGAGGACCCGCCATTCGTGCTCCCTCCCCTCCCTCGCTGCGCTCGGGGGGTCCCCCGAGCCGGGAGCACTCAGGCGGGCACTCTAAAGCCTCGTTCGCGCGATAAATACAGACGGCCTCCCTTCGTGGGGGAGGAGGAGGTGTGAGCAGTGCCTAACCCAAACCCAAACCCTAACCGAACCCGAACCCTAACCGAACCCTAACCGAAACTCTAACCGACGCGTATCACTCAGACCGCGTGGGTTGGGAGGTTTGATACCTCCCTGGCCCGATATCCCAGAGGTTTGCATACCTCGTTGTAGTCTCTACCAAAGCTAGTACTAGGACTAGTGTAAGTAGCGATCGGGAATGAGTATGTGGACGGAGGATACCCAGATGTTAATCCCGATCGGAAGTGGTTTGTTATCAACCGCTCAAGCCTGCCCTGAATAATCATGGAATCGAGCGCTCGTTCGATGGACGGTCGTTGCCCCTCTGTATGCATGCTGTCCGACCCAGCCGTGATGGACATGTTGGGATTAGGCTCATCGATGGATACTCAGCTATAGACGAGGTTCTTAGAGTCTCGTGGACGGGTATATGCGTGGAAAGCGAAGTCGTTGCGGGAGTCCGCTCTCTCCAGAAAGCGCCCCGTTCTCAAGGGCTCTATCACATTCGGCCAGGTTTGTACCGAATTTGGCCAAGTTTAGCTTCCGACGCTACAAAACCTTTTCAGCGTTATAATAGGCTGCTCTCAAGCTGCTCGTGGGAATCGGACATCGCGGTGGATCCAGTGGGAGACATAAAGGTCATGGAGACTCACTGGTGCCCGACGTCTATCGCAAGCCATCAGGCGGCCTACCTCTTGCTTGCAGCATCCAATCCTTCCATCTTTTCCGCTCGCTATGGCTCCCAAGATGTCCTACGGTGAGACGAAGTGTACCTGTTCGCTCGATTCGCGCATACACTCATGTCATGTGCCCCCAGTGCGTCTCGGCAACTCGGGACTCAAGGTGTCGAAGATCATCCTAGGTTGCATGTCGTATGGATCGCCCGAGTGGCAGGACTGGGTACTACCTGAAGAAGAGGCAATCAAACACATCAAGTTTGCGTGAGTATCCGGCTTCTCCGCCTTCGTCTCGAGAACGGTTCTGACCTCGGGCGAGCAGTTATGACCATGGCATTCAGACCTTCGACACCGCGAATGTATGCGTGCTGTCAGTCCTTGGAATTATGATACAGCCGACATTGAATCCCGTATAGGTCTATTCCAACGGTCTCTCTGAAGTCGTCCTTGGAAACGCGATCAAGAAGCTGGGTCTCCCGCGTGAAGAAATCGTCGTCATGACTAAGGTTCCTGATTTCCCGTTCGCACGTACCAAGGGCGCCTCTCACGACCATCGATATACAGTTGCACAATGCTGTAGCGAAGGACGAGAAGACCAACTTTTGGTACAATGGCCAAAACCCCGAAGATGTGGGCATCATCAACCAGAAGGGTCTCAATCGCAAGGTTCGTCTGAAAACGGCCCTGCGTTTACGTTGGCAATGATGGCTCGTTCGTGACGTCATATATAGCACATCTTCGATTCCGTCAAGGCCAGTTTGCAACGTCTGCAGCTGGACTACATCGACCTGCTCCAATGTGAGCATTCTTCGGCCTAGCCTACGTCCGTGTGAAGCCTAACCCGACGCCTTGCAGGCCACCGTTTCGACTACGACACGCCGATTGAGGAGACTGTGGGTGCCGGCCTAGTATACTCGAGCGCGTACTGACCGAAGCGCATGGCATATAGATGCAAGCCCTGCATGATGTCGTGAAGGCAGGATACGTCCGTTATATTGGCATGAGCTCGTGCTGGGCCTATCAGTGTGCGCTTGTTGTGTGTTACATCTGCGTCCTTGCTTACTGACACATTTTTACCATGCAGTCCACGCCATGCAGAGTATGGCGTTTCCTGGTCTCACCGAATGCCGCTCGGCTCACAGCGTCCCTTTCCTCTTGCGCAGACTACGCCATCAGCCACAACCTCACACCGTTCATCTCCATGCAGAATCACTACAGCTTGCTCTACCGTGAGGAGGAGCGCGAGATGTTCCCGACGCTCAAGGTTGGTCTTCCTTGCATTTCCTAGCTCACTCGCTACTAGACTTGACCTTCTGCGCAGCACTTTGGCGTCGGCTCGATCCCATGGTCTCCTCTCGGACGGGGATTGCTCACTCGTCCTATCGATGGCAAGACTCTCAGGCTGAAGACTGACGGGTAATGTCACAAATGATACGTTCTAGTACTCGAGTGCTAAGCCACTTTGTGCCAGCTTCCTTCCATTCTACGACATCCCATTCCTTCCTGCGCTCCTCAGCAGGTACCTTCTGTCGTGTTGATTTTGGCGTACGAATTAGCTGACGGCTCTACTCTGCAGGGTCGAGGAGCTCGCAAAGAAGAAGGGCGTAAGCATGGCCCAGATCTCGACGGCCTGGATCATGAACAAGCCCGGCGTCACCGCGCCCATCATCGGGACGACGAGCCTGAAGAACCTCGAAGACATTCTTGGTGGGTTCTGTTTGTTTTCTCGCATGCGTCATATTGGCAAGGGGCGGTTGCGCGTCCTGGCGGCTGAGCTGATCACCTCCTTGCAGGTGCTCTTGACGTTACACTCACGGACGACGAGATGAAGTACCTGGAAGAGCCGTACCAGCCGCTGAAGGTCCTGGGCCATGCCTGATGATTCCCTGTAATTCCCCCAAAATTGCGATGCAGGCGTACGTCCTGTAAGGCTCGATATAGGTATCCTGCGGGGCTCGTGTGAATGCGCGCTTTGTTGAACAGATCTCGACTCTTCCATAATACGAAGACCGACAATGATGACACCTTGCTGTGCTGCTGATTCAGTCCTGAGAAGTTGGCGGAGTCCACTTGGTTAGAGTCTCGGTTAGAGTCTCAGTGAGCGGGGTTTCCCATTCCCGGTGTTGAGGCACCCAGCGTCGAATGATCTCCGCTACCAGCGAACCACCTCTCATCGAAATCACCAAGACCCTGCTCGAGAGACCATGCACGCCTGTGGCGTGTGCTCCGCTCAAGGGTCCCATGCTTCCAAATCTACCCAATGTTGCTCCTCCGTCGTGTCATTCGTCGTTCCGCTTCTGTCTTGCTCCCCGCTAACCATCCCCGCTTGATGCTCCCTACGGTACTAGCACTGAAACTAGGAAACCACACGCCGCGCGACGCAGGTGGTTTACAGGTGCGATGCAGACTTGACGCGCAAGCCGGCTCAGTTCCGGTCACGCTGACACTTGTGGAGAGCTTGGGCATGAACTCAAGGTGTCTCCCAACGTAGCAAAGTTGCCGTGCGCATACGCGCGGTTACAAAGCACGTGGTATATCCAATCGATTGTCAGTTCTACTGCCATATTACGCATATTCAAGAAGCATGACAGTCCGAGCATCTGAGTACTAAGCACTACTGAGCCCTATCAAGCCATGCGCTCATCCTGATGAGTGCCTCTGTTCTCTCGGGCTCTTGCCACTTGAAGACGACGAAGTCGTGCGTAGCATCCGGTGGGAAGTCCTCAACCACCGTCACCCCATCCGCCTTCATTCGTTCAACTAATGCAGTGGACTCGTCTAGTGCTCGCTCCGCCCCCCCAGCAGCAACGTAGGTCTCCGGAAAGCCTTCAGACAAGCCTTTGCCCTTCATTGGCTCGCAGTCGAGAGATGATGGGGACAAGTACCGGTTGGTCTTCACCACCTCGAAGTCCAGCGGCCCGCGCAGCGACGTCATCCCGTACTCGCCAAAGAGGCGGCCAGGCTTCAACGGGCCAAAGATGTCACTGGCTCTGTTCAAAAGGTGGGAAGAGCCCGGACCAACATGAGACATGGAGAGGTCAAACCAGCCGGACACGGTGAGGATGCGTCCTGGAGGTGGCAGGGAAGGGAAGGGATTCTCGACGAGGTGACGTACAAGCGCGATGGCGAGGTTTCCTCCAGCCGAATCGCCTGCGATGGTGATGTTCTCGGGTGCGAAGCCCGCATCTTGCACCAAATAGCGATAGCCGGCTAGAGAGTCAAGGACCGCGGCCGGGAAAGGGTTAGCAGGAGGGTTGGGGGCAGAGGCGGTGAGGCGATAATCGATGGCCAGGACCCGATCGAGGCTCTGAGAGTGCTCCAACAGTCCTCTAGTGAAGTTTGCTGTGATGTCCGATGGGTTCGCAGAGCCAATCTGTGGATAGGGGTCGATTATTTCATTGCATGCAGGTAAGATGTCAGCAGCATTGAATTACACACATAGAACGCTCCACCGTGCAAGTGGAGGACAGTCTTTTCGCCAGGCTTTGCCTTGGGACCATCCCAGACGGCACCCTTCTTCAGCAACCAATAACCCGCGATTCGGGCGGGAAGGACGCCAGTGATGTCCCCCAGACGGCGGATCTCGCCACA